ATAAATAAAATGCATAATTTTTTTATTTTGTACAGCTATACTAATTTTGTTTCATGTTTAATTTGTAGTTCTGTCGTAACATGACACCAGTATGAGCTTTTTTTAAACCAGTATGTGGTTAAAGGGTCCTCACTTATTCAATTAGCCTTCATATTTAGCTGAAATAGAGATAGCACTAGGGGTTTCCTTACATTGATAAGACATTTTTTTGGACAAAGAATGTGATTATGATTGTATGTCAGATAGATTAAATAGTTTATTCATTTTTATGCATATGTCATGAATTTTCTGACCCTGAAAAGCACAAAAAGGTAAATTGATTATGTAAGGGGACATAATTTAACTTAATGCATACATGAGAAAGAGAAAAACAGTCAACTTAGAGATATATTCTAGTACATGTATTGTCAAAAAGATTTTAGAATAATAGTTAACTTCCATCTAAAGAATCTTGTTATGTTACCTACCTAATCTGGAAATGCTTTAAGGAATGTAAGGCATGCTGTAAAATGTGTAATGGACTTTACTATCTTTGTTCATGATTTGGTACCTACCCAGACAACATTGGTACGTTGGCACAACATTGGCCCAACCTACCTACATGCATTGGCCCGACGTTGTTTTTAAACGTTGGCCCAATGTATAAGTGCAAAGTGGCCCTATGTTGGCCCAACGTGATGGCTAAACGTTGGCACAACGTTGTAAGGTTTTATACAATACATTGGCCCAACGTTGGTCCAATGATGGAATAATACTTGCCGATGTTGAACAAACGTTGGGCCAACGTAGTAAAACAAACTGTTAACAAACGTTGGCACTCCGTTGGTTCAATCTGTAAACTTTCCTATCCATATGAAGGATACTAAAATCCCTTCCAGACAACAACTGCAATAATTCCTGGTTCTTACATCAGTTCAAAATGGCGAAAGTAATACTTTTTTTAAATGTTGCAATTATTGCGTTTTACAGATCCACTATACCATGTTGTGTCTTACATACTACCCGAAAATTTTGTATTTTGCCACTTTCTCTCAATCTTCCTGAACATGCATGAAATATTTGTCAATGGACGTTTCAGTTACCAACAACCAATCAATCTTTCTCCAGGAATTGTACTTCTGAATTTTATACCCATATTTGTATGAACTTAATCAACGTATCCATGTTACCTATTTTTCTTAAATAATATAAATACAAAGGTATGATTAAATATAATTTATTATTAGCTAGACAACCAGCAAATTTTAAAAAAGTCTTTTTTGTATCTATACGTTGCTAAATCAGATCTATAGAATGAAAATTTTAAAGTCTATTCATGATAATTCATTTATCCCATTTGTATAATATCATTACAGTTTATGTTGCAATATCCAAGCTCTGTATGACGGCCTTGATAATTCATTGTATACAGCTATTTTTCTAGTTCTGTATTCCAACATGGTTTTTATTCACAAGAGTGTTACTTTTGTTTTCTGCTACACTTTGTTTTGTCACTATTTCTGGCTCCGTCTAATGTTACATCCTTTTAATATCCAGTTTAGCATATCTTCATAAAAGTTATTTCACTACATGTACCTCTGTAATAAAGTGATGAATAAATGAGTACTCAATGTATGTATATTTAGAATATATTAAATCCTAAAAAATAAACAAAGAGACAAAAAATGCATTGTTTCTGGTGTCCTGGTACATTACAATAGTTAGAAAAAATACTCTTTTTTGATATTTGCACTAGCCTATACAATCCAAGGCAAAAGGCATATTGCATGCTTTACCATAATGGCTAGACTTAACCTCGCTAGCTAGGTTAAGCAGGACAATTGAGTGAAGAAATGGATACAGGAAACTTTGTCAAAAAACGTTCTAAGTAAATAAATAAAACTAGTTGAAAAAAAACACAAAGTCAAATCTAAATACACTAGCATTAACGGTAGTATTAAACATTTTATGCATATATATCTGTGAAATTCGAATCCGATGTAGCATAAATGATGGCTATTATGTTAACTTACTTTCTTAAACTTATTCATTCTGGGCTATCAAATGGTAGAATGCATTTTTTCCCATCTCCATTCCCATGCATTTTCTAGCCAGGATGTTGTCAATAATTTCTATTATTCCTAGCTCTGTATTATTCCTTTTGCCCTCTGAATTATTTTGTCTTCTGTAGTACTCAAATATCTAACCTATAAATTTATATTTAAATGTAAAATTGTATATTAAAAAGAAAAGCTACTTCAAGTAATTCAGACAATAATCTTTATAGTCTTTTTCTTTTCATAAATATCCTTATGTGTGGTATAGTCTTTTTTTACATCCCCCTATTTTTTTTTATATTCCAAGCGTCAGCTTTTTGTGACTGATATTTACTCCTACAAACTATTCAAATATCCGTTTTCTTTTGCAAAAGTTTTGCCGAGGACAAAAAACTAAATTCAGTCGAGTCCGTATAATTATATATAAATTACAACATTCTTGCAATGAATTTGATAAATAAATATTCTATTTGATATCTAAAACACTGTTACACATGCAAGTGTGTATATATGATCAGGTTTCACAAATATATCGTATATGTTTGCATGCGATTTAGAAATAATAAAACTAACAAATTCATTTATATTTCTATGAAGTAGAAATCATTATACCACATTTCTGAAACATTACGGAACAAGGTACATCTTAAGACAGATTTTTTCCATTAACTTCAGTAATAGTGATAAATGCAATCGTTATAGATTTCACAAATAAAACATTAAAATATTAGCAATATACAATTTGTTTGATGATACTAATGTTCAGTGGCAAATATTTCATGATTATTTAGGATTAAAATGGTTTAAACAAAATCTAGAAAATATTTCGCCAGAAATGTATAACTTCAAGATCAACATTATAAAATGATAGAAATTATATGTTTTGATTTTGAACAACATCCCTCAGATTAAAAAAAAAACATATATGTTTGTCATTCACAATCGTATATATAACAGAATTTTTAAAGTTATAACTTACATGTCACTTTCTTTTTCTTTGAACCTCAGATAATATGATTTTCTCTTTTTGTTTTCTTCGTTTCACTGCCTTCTTACAAATACACAACAGGAAATAACCACAAAAGTGACCATCCCATTACATTCAGATTGCCTATAAACTTAATTACCATAGCAACTATCTTTGAAATTTGTCTAACATATGGTCAACCTTATCAGAATGTGCTTGATTAACAGACTGGCTGTATCAAATATCACTCTGTATATAATTGCTAAATCATTATGTTTCACAAAGTTTAATGAATAAAGTTATAATAAATAATGATTGCAATAAATTTAAACTTTTAACCAGGCAATCTATGTTAACGATATATTTTTTTTTATTACAGTAATGATATTCCAGTATAAATTTTACCTGACTTATATATAGAGTATAATATAGGATCAACGTTGGCCCAGCATTGGCCCAACATAGAGTTGTAAATGTAATTTCAGTTGTTGAACCCTTTCGGTATAACATTAACTTTTCATAAAGCATGCAGCAATCGAAATCATCCGTCTTCCCAAGAGAAATAAAGCGTAAAATATTTCATAATCAATTTTTATTAACAAAATTTCATATCGGCCCTATTTTGCTACTAACGTAATGCCAACGTTGGCCCGATTATTTATAACCAACATGAGATAATAATATGGATTTACAACAGCAGGCCAACGTTGGGCCAATGTTGTGCAGGCAACACCAACGTGCAACTAACGGACCGACAATTTGCCAACGTTGGGCCAATGTTGTGCAGCCAACAACCAATGGTCGACCAACGGACAGATAATTTGCCAACGTTGGGCCAATGTTGTGCAGCCAACACCAACGGTCGACCAACGGACCGACAATTTGCCAACGTTGGCCCACTGTTAGTCTGTTGACTGGGTATACTGTTTCTTTCAGTCAGATTAACTAGGAATAGAGTTGTCAATCCAATAATTCCTCCTGAATCACCATGTTTCACTTCTGTGTTGATTTGAAACATCATATATTTGGGTTTTGTTCACTCCTTAAGTAAAAGTGGTAAGATGAAAAATAGTGAATATCTGCCAGCTGGTGTAGGGGTATAGTCTTTTAATTTTTTTGGGTAAGAAATAAGTGCTAACTAGTATTCTTTATTGTAATATGTTTCCTAGTAAGAAGTCTATGCATCATAGGAGTCATTACTGGTTTCAAGTTTGTGATTTCCGGAATTAAGGTTGCTCTTTTGTGTACCCTACTTAAGTCAATGTATCTAAACAATGTGATTAGATAAAAAATACAGTATCTACTGAACATACTTTCCGAAACTGAGGGATAAATCAGGTGTAGAAAAATATGAAACAATTTTACATAAGGTGAAAATTAATTTTGGGAATTTTTTTTAATTTTGTATTCACTGCATGATAAAAGACATAAAACCACTAGTGGCCTTAGGTTTATAAAGATAGCAAAAAAAGTAAACGGCCATGACACATATTTAAATTTATTTCTGAATATTACAATGAAAGTACTTCAGTTAACTGTGTATGTAGAATTTTGGGCAGTGTTAGAAAGTGGTGAAAATTCTAAAAAGGCTATCATTATCCCTATTGGCCAGGGAATATTACCGTGCCACCTAAAGGTGCTGTAAACATTTCAATAGTTGTCAGAGTGAAACAGGATGATGAAAGGTTATTTCATGCAACATTCGTAATTTTTATTTCCCGTGTATTTATGCATAAATTGTTTGCCTTGTTGAAATTCACAGTGAAAATACAAGACAAAGTCAACTGACAATAGGCTAGATTCAATATACACACACGATACAACGATCACGATAGCACAATTTGGAATACTGTATATTGATTAATTGCTCCATAGGGAAAAGTAAACAGAAGATTAATACGTCCAAATAACACAGGAAAATAATATATATATCTATAAAAAAACTTAGATGTTGGTGTTGATTTCATCATAGTTTTGTTGTACCAATGTCTTTTCAGATTGATTTTGCACCTCCAGTTGGTTATCAAGAACCAAATCGACCAGAGAAAAAACACGATGAGGATCTAGATATGGATGTATGTATCACATAGTGATTATCAAATGTTTTGTATAGGCAAATTGCATTTCAATCTCCTAAGCCCATATAAGCCCATATATGCTGGACAGTCGTGTTTAAGTGTCTTATATTGATCAGAGGTTAACAAAGGATGTGATTTATATGAAAAATATTCAATATATATTTATATAAAGGTCATCTTGTTTTTATCCAGGTCATCATGATTCTAAATGCCAGAAATCTAGATATTAATTAGGGCAGTTATAACTTGTGACTTATATATTTATAATGTTTGTGTCTTCATGGCTAATGATATGGCTCACGGCTTTTTTAAAAGTAAAATTCAAAAAAGAGAGTCCCTAATCAAATGGCAAAATCAAAAGCTCAAACACATCAAACGAATTGAAACTGTCATATGTCTGACTTGCAATTGGCATAGGCATTGGTTAACACAATATCTGTTTGTTTTGTTCACACATCGTTGTCAACATAATGGAATTTTATGCAACTATCATTTAAGTGAGAGGTTTAGCTAGCTATCAAACCAGATTTAATCCACCATTTTCTAGTAAGAACATGCCTGTACCAAATCAGAAATATGACAGTTGTTATCAATTCGTTTGATGTGTTTGAGCTTTTGATTTTGACATTTGATTAGAGACTTTCCGTTTATAATTTTCCTCGGAGTTCGGCATTTTTGTTATTTTACTTTTTCCTAATGTAGAAAATGGTGGATTATACCTGGTTTTATAGGTAGCTAAACCTCCCACTTGTTTGACATAAAATTCCATTATATTGACAACAATGTGTGAACAAAACAAACAGGCATAATAGGTAAAAATGTCAAAATTACAGCAGTCAACATTGTGTTATAATGGAAGTACACCACTAATTCATGGCCTCATTGCTTTCTATGTTAAATTCCTCAATTTCAAGCAGGCACAGTTCTTGTTTGCCTTAAGTTGAAACAAAGTGACAATCATTGCATGTCAAAGCAACACCTTATAGTGTGATTTACTAATAAAATCATCATACCTTTAATTGTTTATAAGAGAGAACTGGTTCCCGGAACTTCGAATGTACCAAAACAGGTACTTTGGATCTGAAAAACATGCAAAACATACCCTTCTTTTTAAATTTCACGCAATTTTTTTTTATTATTTCAAATTATATGTCAAAATGTGTTCTTCAATGATCACCAGTCATGCAGCTTTCATTTGATACAAAAATTTCCTAAATGTTCTTCATATGTTGAAAGTTACATGAATGTGTAAAAACTATTTTGTGTGCTACGCTCTGATATATGCTTTTTAACTGGGCTCGAATTAGTGGTGTTAAACCTATAACAGAACCAGACTTGTCAGGAGCCTTTAATTCAGTAGTTGCCGTTTGTTGCTGTGTTACATATTTGTTTTTCGTTCATTTTTTGTACATAAATTAGGCCGTAAGATTTCTCGTTTGAATTGTTTTACATTTGTAATTTCGGGCCATTTATAGCTGACTATGCTGTATGGGCTTTGCTCATTGTTGAAGGCCGTACGGTGATTAGTTGTTAATTTCTGTGTCATTTGGTCTCTTGTGAATAGTTGTCTCATTGGCAATCACACCACGTCTTCTTTTTTATATTTGCTATATTGACTTCTGCATTACTTACTTTCATTCTATGATCTATTTCAAGTAATAAAAAACATATAAAGCTTCAGTCCAAACACTATTTTACTGTTTTTAAGCTCAAATCGGACTGGTTGTAACATATGGGTTTTGCAATGAAAACTGCATTTAGATATTATCAATAGCCAATTTGATTATTCTTTTTCAATATGATCATGGTTCTAGTTTGTTAATTTCTACTAGACAAATAAAGTTCTTACCAATAGTCATATTCTTATCTGAGATTGTTATTTAATTAAAAATATATAAGTCCAAAACTAAGACATAATTGAAAATATTGTCCCCCTTTTTTCAAATTGGAAAAGGAACATTTTTCGTATTAACCATACCTCTGTGGTATGAAAAAAAGTTATGAAGAGTAATTTATATATCCTATATATGTATTTCTCTGTGCTGAGTGCTCTTGTGTTTGTTTGTACTGTATTCCTGTCACATAGTGTTGTCATTTTAGCGGTATTTTAAACATTGCCATATAAGCGTGAGTTTTGGATAGCCATAAAACCAAATTTAACCCACCATTTTTTCTGGAAATGTCCTGTATCAAGTCAGTCATGGCAGTTGTTATCTACAGTCCGTTTCTATGTATTTTGGCGTTTGCTTTAGTTGTTGTTCAATGTTTCTGTAGTTCCGTTGTTTTCCTCTTATGGTTGATGTGTTTCCCTCGGTTTTAGTTTGTAACCCGGATTTGTTTTCTCGCAATCGTTTTATGACTTTTGAACAGCGATATACTACTGTTGCCTTTATTTTTTTGATCATTGATGTTATATTTAGTTCTGATATAAACATGTATATCAGTTTACACAGCTTTGTGATAGATATATAACATTTATTGTAAGGTATAACTTTAATACATTAAAATATTTTGATCTCATATATAGATATAAGAAGATGTGGTATGAGTGCCAATGAGACAACTCTCCATCCAAGTCAAAATTTATAAAAGTAAACCATTATAGGTCACAGTACAGTCTTCAACACAGAGCCTTGGCTCACACCGAACAGTAAGCTATAAAGGGCCCCAAAAATTACTAGTATAACACCATTCAAACAGGAAAACCAACGGTCTAATCTATATAAAAAACGAGAAACGAGAAACACTTATGAACCACATCAACAAACGACAACTACTGAACATCAGTTTCCTGACTTAGGACAGGTGCAAACAAATGCAGCGGGTTTAAACGTTTTAATGGTACCAAACCTTCATACTTATTCTTGGTCGTAAATACTGACTTGCCACAAATTTAACCATAAAGGTGGTGAATTCACAGTCAAGCATTTATAAATAGTACCGTTATTGAATAAAGAATTTTACCTTTAAATATTTTTTCATGTGAAATAATCATTTTGTATTATAGAATAAAATTGTTAAAGGAAATAGATATTTTGCATTTTAAAATTAAATTGTGCAACATATCATAACCACATCACAGCTAAATGCCTCTTCTGAACATTTGAAGGTCCCTACTATGTATAAGTTACCTAAGCTACACAAAAAACCAGTAATATATCGTTTCATCTCGGCCTCTAGTGTATGTAGTTAGTGTTCTACAACTAATCGTTTAGTGCTTTTAACTAGTTCATTAACGTCCATTAAAGAACTTAGAATTAACTTTTTTAGTAAAATATATGAAAATAATGGAATTAACTATTTTTGGTGTGTAAAAAATTCTTTTGATGTTTTAGATGAATTACGTGCTTTTGATGGTCCTTTTGAATCTGTTGACAGTTTTGACTTTTCAACTCTTTACAGTACACTTCCACACAATCTTAAAACAAAAGTTTTCTTATTTAATCAAATGGTCGTTTGGTAAATCTGAATGCAAATATATTTGCTTCAACTCATTTACAGTACAGCCTTCTTCTCGAATGAGAAAGATAAATATCGTAAAATACTTACTAGAGGTGTGATGAGATGATTGAAGCTGTTCCTTTTCTCTACGTTTTGGCAACAAAGTTTATCGATTTAGGTTGTAGGTATTCCTATGGGTACTAATTGCGCCCCTTTCATAGCAGAATTTTTCTTATACTGTTATGAATCACAGTTTATAACCAAACTCAGAAAAGACCCGTCTAAATTGGATTTAATTGATAAATTCAGCAACACTTACCGTTATCTTGTAATATTTTTTCGTTACATAATCAAGAATTTTCGAAATATACTGCCGAAATTTACCCAAAGGAACTTACTTTAAATAAATCAAATATAAACGGTAATAACTGTCCTTTCCTAGATTTCGATATTTCAGTTTTACAAGGGGAACTCCACACTAAAATTTACGACAAAAGGTAGGATTTCTCGTTCCGTATTGTGAATTTTCCCTTTTTTGGATGGTGATGTTCCTTTGGCACCATCTTACGGTGTTTATATATCACAGCTCGTTCGCTATGCCCGTGTCTGTGGTGACGTTTTGGATTTCAATGAACGTTATCTATGTATTACTGGTAAATTATTAAGTCAGGGATTTCGTTACTTAAAACTTTTACTAAATTATTCCATAGATATAAAGATTTGGTTTTGAAGTTTGGTTGTACTTATTTAAAACGAGATAGCACATCCTAATTTTTACAGAGATGGTGTTTCGTGCCCGAAAATTTAGAAACGATCCTAGTAAACTTATCGATCCTTTAATAAACTTATTCTAAAAGGTTACCAATTCAACACTATAATTAGATCTTTGAATATTTTTTTTTATTGGTATTAATATTGATTTTGTTAACAGTGAGTTAAAAGCAAACTAAATATTATTGTTATATACATATGCACATATATTCATGGCTCTACAATCTGTCGATACCTGTATCTTTGCATTGCACAATTTCATGTTTTTCTCTGACTGATTATGACGTCTTTACACTTAATCTATTCGATGTTGGATGTAAACTGATTGATAATTTAGTCTTAAATGCATGATTTTTTTTATATTAGTTGTAATTGGCTTTGAACTAACTGTCAGTAACTGCGAGTACTCTCAGATCTATACTTATTGTTTTTTTGTTGTTGTGATATACAAGTACTCGACCACGTCCACTCTGTCTTTTGTAAGATGTATTTCTATTTGTATCCATCTGATGAGTTTTTTTATAGTTTGTTCTTATGTTGTACTCTTACACCACTGTCCCAGATTAGGGGAGAGTTGGGCGCCCGCTAGCATATTTAACCCCGCCAAATTCTGCATGTGCCTGTCCAAAGTCAGGAGCCTGTAATTCAGTGGTTGTCGTTTGTTGCTGTGTTACGTATTTGTTTTTTTCATTAATTTGTACATTAATTAGGCCGTTAGTTTTCTCGTTTGAATTGTTTTACATTTGTCATTTCGGAGCCTTTTATAGCTGACTATGCGGTATGGG